GTGCTTAATTACAAACAAACCTTAGTTCCTACGATCCTTAGATAAATGAAAGAATGCGTTCTCTTTAGTGGCCATTAAATAAACATTGTTAGAAGTATAGCAAGAATGTCCTAATAAACGAATATTAACACAAGTTTGTTCAGTGTTAAAAGGTATAGAGTCAGAATGTATTAGCTATTCATATATTTTAGCTCTGTATATCTGTTTCCATCTATAGATAAAAATCAGTGTAGAAATATCTTAGATTATTCAGTTCTCATTTAAACTAAGCGACCTAAGCTGCTTGATTATCAAAAATCTTTAAGGAGACTTCTTGAGATAATAATTGAAATATTTTATTGAATTAGATTGAAATTTATTTGATTGGATACAGTTTCAGTTGTTTAGTAACTGAAATTTGGTGTGTTAACATGAAGTAACATTTCAACCTTATAAGCATTTTACTTTTGGGATCCAAATGTTCAGTTTAATAAAATTAAATTAAACCTCGTAGAAACATCTAGACGCTCTGGCCATTTACAGTGAGTTATTATTATTTTTTCAATTTTTACTTCAATCAGTTGTCGCTTTAGTTCTCAGCACTCACTCGTCTATCTCTCAGTTCATATGACGTTACAGTAATATGTTGAAACTTTACTTGTATGTATTCGTTCCTTAAACTAGTTAAAATCTTTTTTTTTCCTCAGAGAAAGAAGCTGGTCTGACAGTTCCGAGTGGATCCTCATGTGTGAAGATTTTGTCTGGCTTCTGTTGGAGAATGACAATGGGATTACTGGCATACGTAGTGTGTACTAGTACGTCACCACTTTTGTCCTATTTACCAAATCCTTAGACCGTTCGGTAATAGATGACGTCACAGTACTTTAAAAGTGAAGATTCAACTCTTCAAAGTTACAGTTTTCTTTCAACAGTATATCTTGTTTGAGTTGAAGCATCTAACGAAGAGGACAGTCATCATTTTAAGTGTTATTCCAGATAATATAATGTATTGATATTCTTTCTGCGGTGTATATCATTTTAGTCGAAGCATCTAGCGACAATAATGTTCACAATTTTATTGTTATTCCAGATGGCGTTATCAAGCTGTAGTAAGTCATTGTATAAGGGTTAGGCCTTTTTTGTATATATAATAGTGTGGCCTTGGGAGACCTTAACCTTGTTCACTTAACAATTTCAAGGCTTTTGCATAGTTTGTCATAGATGTTTCATTGAAGCAAGTTATAAATTACAACTCATAAACATATTGCAAAACAAAACAAAACAAACAAAAAATGTGCACAACCAGATAGGATATCTTTCTAGTAAAATAAATTGATTTATATAAACTATTTGGACGAACATTTTCAGTGAGCACACTTATATTTCGTCTTTTAGATTAAGTTAAGTGAAAAGTTTAAAGAACTGATTTACATATGACTCTATTCAGCAGGAGAGTGTTTTACTCATCACTATCAACTCCGTTAAATCAGAGACGACAAACTTTGCATTTAGCCACAAACAGAGCAAACAAATGCTAAAACAAAGTCCCCTTGTTAATGTCATATTTTTCTGAATAAAATTTCGATCAAATGCTTTGTACTAAATATCTTTGTTTAAAGCAGTCAATTTTTCGCATATTCTTTTCTAGTTTTTACCACATTCGTCTTTATTTATTGCATTCGTACGTAAACGGAAATGTGCTTTATATTCATGTATTATCTAAGTATAAAAACTGGATGGCAAACAGCGTGTAGTGACATTATTGAGAGCAGTAAACAAGTTTGTGTGAAGATCAAAATATACATTTAATAGAGATTAATTGAAATGCATTATTTGTTTATTATAACAGTATATTGTATAGGTGTTTTGCTCTGATAATTACGAAGTAGGAAAACTACGTATTATTAAGATTTTAAACTGTAATAACTGTAAAAGAGCTCACAGAGAAAAACAATTTGTAAGGTAATGGTGCCCAACTTAATTGAAAAAAATATATACAAATGGATACATTTGTTTATCTTATTTTGTTTATTTTTTTTTGTTTTATGACAAATAAGTTAAATATATCATATACACACGTGCATTTAGTTCTGTTTTACTGCTTACTCTAAATAAAAACGTCAGAAAAAAATCTGCGATGCCCTGCTAGAAGTGAACTCCCCATTAATAGTTTAAAATTAAACCATATATGTTAAGCCTAAGACGACACTTGTGGAGGTTGTAAATAACGCAGCTGTTAATAAAAATACAACGTTTATCGGTACGTACGTAACAAATGTTTAAACATGATACCTCCTTCAGTTTCATTTTTTAGATGTTTACTGTGTACATACAATGAAACGTCGGATTTCCTTTTAACACGTTTTATCCGAGCGATATACGATTTAAATTACACATACTTCTAAGTTAGGGGATTATACGGCTAAAGTAACAAAAAATATGTTTAGTCATACAATTGGAAATGTCAAAGAATTCTGCTTGAATGTAAACATCTCACTTTATGTATATTTTGATGTGTATATAACTATTCGATTTACCTCAAACTTGTCTTGTTCTTAAACTAATATTTATGAACTTATTTTATTAATTTCTTTGGAGTCAAGAAGTGCCAAATTTTACGTCATATTCCAGCCCCTGTCACGTCATGGTCATACTAGTTTCATTTAGTTTGTATGTATACATAATGTGTGTCTAAGTAACAGTTTAAAAAATTATTGATCTTATAAAGTAAAATGAAAATCGTTCCATTATTAAATATTCGAATGTCTACTACACTGTAAATATGGCGTTGTGTTTAAGTTTACAACATTGTTAATTTTGGATTTCTGTTGGACACGAGAAAAGTTTTGTGCACGAGATTTATGGCTATCGTCAGTATAAAACTCGTGTCTCTGATAAGGTTTTGTTTATTTCTGAGTTCCATGTAAAGTTCTTGAGACAAATCAACGTGTTAAAACCTAATTATTATAAAAAGTATGTTCTATTTCCCAAATCTGGTTCTCGTCTTGAGATACGTCAACGTGTTTAAACCTACTTATCATAAAAAGTATGCTCTATTTCCCAAATCTGGTTCTCGTCTTGAGATACGTCAACGTGTTTAAACCTACTTATCATAAAAGTATGCTCTATTTCCCAAATCTGGTTCTCGTCTTGAGATACGTCAACGTGTTTAAACCTACTTATCATAAAAAGTATGCTCTATTTCTCAAATCTGGTTCTCGTCTGATGCACTGGAATACAGCTGTTAGTTGTTCGTTGATATGAAACTTGGGTATATATTGATAACAGCTATGTTAGATCTGTTTTCAAATTTAGTGACATTAGTTGAAAAACCAGTCGTGTTTAAAACATTATGAATTTAGCAAAACTTGTGAAAAATCAGCTGTATTTAAAATGTATGCTGTTTGTGAATTTACTGGCACCTTATTTCAAAAGCATGTTGTTTAAAAAACATTTTAGCAATGATTATTCCGGAATAAGTTTTAAACAGCTAAACAATGTTTATAAGACAATTTATTTATAAAAATAATAAAATAGGAGCACTATAGATGCAGACCAAAACTTCATATTTAGCTTTCAAATCTTATTAAACTCGCAAAAAGAAAACTAAACGTAGAACTAAAACTGGGATAGGCTGTTTGACGTAATAAATGGTTGTTTTCTTAACTTTTATCTAATGCAATACATGTTTCCTGAGCTACTGGTTGGCTACTGGGCAACATTATCAGATATTTCTGTGTACTTCAATAACTGTACCTATTTAAGTTCGCTGTGATGCAGATTGTGGTTTTAGTTTATAGAAATAGGTATTTGAAGCATATTAAAGATATACAAAAGGATGGTTACAAAGGCATGGGATTTTTAGATCACATCGTTTTCAAGTATATTTCTTTAATAATTGCTTTCAATTCTTATAGATCTCTGTAAGCAAACATTAATACAAATAGCTGGTATATCTTTGTGATGTAAGTATAAAAATCCATTTCTACCAAAAACCTACTGTGTATAAGACCCTTAACTAACTCGAATAACTTAGTCACTTGTTCGTTCAACAGACTTCTCAATACAGACTACGATGTCCAAGTCTTTCATGCATATAACGTTTCACTTCTTCTCTACACATTTGATCTTATTTATCATTGGTTAAATAAATGAGGATTCATGATATGAGGATTTTTGTTATTTTTGAAGATACTTTTCTAATTTCGTCGTTAATGTTTTAAAACATTTCTGAAGTGTATTATTTACGGTCACTCTATAAATTACATATTGTTACTGTTGATGAAAATAATCAAATAGGATTGAATTTTTCACGGTAATTAAGTGTTTGGTTCTTAAACGGTAACTACGAGACAGTTAACACATAGCTACATCCATATGATTAATATAAAAAGAAACTAACAAAAATATTTTCATTAAAAATAGAAGTTTAATAGGTTAGACTGTAAAATCAGAAATGTCTTACATCAACTTGAGGCATTGTGCACAGTTATAGCACTGCCGAATATTAGGGTTAACTTTATCATACATCCTGGCTTTCCTACTTATACCTACGTTACTTACCAGATCATACATCTTGGCTTTCCTACCTGTACCATACGTTATTTACCAGATCATATATCCTGGCTTTCCTACCTAAGCCTTACGTTATTTATCAGATCATACATCTTGGCTTTCCTACCTGTACCATACGTTATTTACCAGATCATATATCCTGGCTTTCCTACCTAAGCCTTACGTTATTTATCTGATCATACATCTTGGCTTTCCTACCTGTGCCATACGTTATTTACCAGATCATACATCCTGGCTTTCCTACCTATACCATACGTTATTTACCATATCATACATCCTGGCTTTCCTACCTATACCATACATTATTTACCATATCATACATCCTGGCTTTCCTACCTATACCGTACGTTATTTACCAGATCATACATCCTGGCTTTCCTACCCATACGGTAGTTTAGTTACCAGATCATACAGCCTGGCTTTCCTACCTAAACTTTACGTTATTTACCATACTCTATATATATATAATTAACGTAGTTGCATATTCAAACACTTTATCGTAGTTTACATTTACACCTGGAAATACAAAAACTTACGAAAAGCTGCTTTCCTCTACTGGTCATAATGAGAACTAATCCTTGATAATAGTTTCATATTTTCCTGAAGTTAACCTATATTCCACAACAAGATATAACTCATTCACATAACATGTTTGATAACCACCCATTCCTAAGTATTGTCTTTATTGGAAAACAAGTTGCTATTTAACTTAAGTAACTTTGGTTACTATGATTAAAACATCAAGTTTTAAACCGTTTGAAGACGCTTGATTTTTTTCAATATTTAGAACGTGATGGATGAAAATAAAATCAATTAAAAAACATAAGCGCCATTTTTGCAGTGTACAGTTCTTTCTAATTTAATATAATTGAATAAGTGTAAAATGTGTGGCAAAGCTGTTTTAAGAAACTACAAAAATGTATTTTGCCAGTTTAGTTGTTTTGGTTTTTTACTGACTAGCTCGATGAAATTCGAATCTCATTGTGGAGTTGAAATTTTTTCGCAGATAGTTCTTGATTTATTTATTTGAATGTAGAATGATGTACCTTTGCTTCACTAAAAGTAAATATTTGTTTAAGAAGCCGATAAAGAATGTAAGTTAATCTCCTGTGAACAAGTAGGAAATGTGATGTAGCTACCGTGACGTGCGCAAATAAAATTATGTTACAATATACATCTGCCATATATATTCTTGTTTATTGCTTTGTTACAAACTATACATTTCAAGCGGAAGGATTAAAGAAACTTAACAAACTGCTTTCATTACGAGTCATATCTAAAACTTGGAACCATACCATACTGTTAGCGAATCAAATTCCGAGTTTTTAGAAACCCAGTTCCTGTTGATATTGTTACGTTTCTGGTCGTTTGTTAATTTCCCGTAAAAATTCTTCCAGAGGAACTTCAGTGATACGAGTCCTTTCTTAAATAAAATTAGTTTATTCTTCCTCAATACAACTTTGCAATACACAGAATTTCCACAGTCACTTTCACTTTCACACACGCTATAATTCACAATGATTTACACACTTTACTTCGGGCTTGACTCGATTATCCGTCTCTGTATCTCCCTATCTGCCAATTGTTCCTCCGCTTTATTTGCCGGCTTATATACTAAAAATAGAGGGCGCGTAGAAAAGACTAGAGTTGCCAGGAAGAGACATGATCCTTCTAGAAACTCATGACGTGTTAACAGTGTCACGTGACTTCTGCTGTCGTAACAGTATGCTTGTACTTTGTCAATTAGAAACAGACAACGTAGTGACTATAAACTCTCATCTACAGGATATGACGTTATTATTCAACCTTCTACGACGTGAAATATTAGAATTCTGTAATGTTTTTATTGTTATTCTAAAAGAAATTCACTAAAATAATGTACTGTTCAGTGTAGAAATATAAGCACAAAACTGCCGAGCTGCATGTTTCCTTTTTTTGTTGTCAAAATGCAGTATTGTAACACTATTGCAAATTTGGACTAATATTAAACACCTTAATGTTCTACAGTAAAGTTTGTTTCGGTAAACTACAATTTGATTTATGTTTGAAACCAAAACCAGGAATTGCAATAAGACAAACAATCACGTTTGGATTAATTACAATATGTTAAAAAATGTTATTTTTCTAATTGGAACCAAAAATAAAACAAAGATGTTAAAACAATGGATATTATTGGATAAGAAACAAATATTTGTGAACTTAATAATTACCGTACTTTTGAAGTGAATAACTAGTGTGTACTTTTTCTAGACATACACTGACTACTCATTTATTGAGACGTTTCTGTACATTCGTAGAACTATTCAATCCTGTTTGTAGCATAAGCAGATGGTTAATGCCCCATAAGTAAAATAAATGAAGTTTGAGCCTGATTATTCTAGAATATTATGAGTAAGAGCAAGGATTTATTCGTCTTTTAAAGGAGTGTGACATGGGTTCTTTTCTTGCGGAAGGTCTTCTCCAAAACAATTTCTTTGACCAGCTATTCAAAGATATTAATCATATTAAGGGTGGCAATCAGGAAGAATTACGTCTATCAATAAGAAAAGATCAAACTGTATCAAACCATGATGGTCTCTTAGTAGGTCCGAGTTAAGTGTACAGACGTACAACGCTACAAATCCGGGTGCGATTCCCCTCGGTGAGCACAGTACAAATAGTACACTGTGTAGATTTGCGCTAGAAAACCGAGAAAACAAAGACAGAGAAAGAAGACGATGATAGAATCTTAGACTTCAAAACTATATTTGTCCCTCTGGACTGATTCTATCATTAAAAGCTAGGATTCCACTATCTTTCAATAATACATCGTAAACGAAATTAAAATATTTCAGCTGGTTTGTTTGTTTGTAGTTAAGCACAAAGCTACACAATTTGTCTATCTGTGCTCTGCCAACCACGGGTATTTAAACCCGGTTTCTAGCGTTCATTTCAAATGGAAGTCAACAACCAGTGCCTAAATAATCCTTAACTCGAAATTAGCAACACTTAGAAAACAAACTGTAGACAATGAATATTTCGAACAGTATAGTATAATAACCTTTTCAACATTAACTATGGAGTAAAAGTATTTAAAAAAATCAAGAGACAACGAAAACCATTAGAAATGATGTAATGATGTGGGGATTGTTCTTGTGTAAGAATTGGAGTCCTTGATTTTTTTTAATTTTTTTGGAAAAATTAAGACTTAGAGAGTGCTGTTACAAAGGTAAAATTCTGCCGCAATTATATCGTTAACTAGTAGAGACCTGCAAAACATTTGTGGTCAAATTAGTATATTTATTGTAACATTACTTCTTTAAATATACGATCATAGGCTTAAACCATGATCAATTATATTTCCAGTTAAGTAACTTAACAGGAAGCAAACGAATGCCAAGTATGAAGCTGATGTATCAAAACTGTCAGCTTCAAAATATTACATAAGAATTCTAATCGCAGACACCGAAATCTATAATCCACTTGTCTTAAGCCTAACTGTAGTTAAGCCTATATTCGAAAAAAATAAAAATTACCACTTTAACTTGTGTACGTTTTTTACTCTAGTTTAGTTAAGTCTAAATTTTATCGTATTTAATGCTATCAATAAATAAACTTACAATGTTATTGTATGACCTAATGCTAGCCTTTTTTTTCTTGCGTAATTTAATTAATATTCTGAAGGAAGGACGGAGGTCTCAGGGGATTTTGTACAAAATTCTAGCCTGTTATGTTTCTGACGGGTGGGCAAAGCTAGTATATATATTTATAAACCACAAAAAGAACTGTCTGTCTGTCTGTCTGTTTGTCCGTCCCTTATCTAACCACTCCCAGGTCGCTTGGCCAATCTCCACCAAACATTGTGGGATGATATTTTGAAACAAGAGGAATGTTAATGGAGATTCATAACCCCTCTGTTACCCATTATTGATGTTATTGAGCATTTATTATCTTTGACGTTATTTAACAATAACTACATACACAGATGGCGCCACGTCAGTATGAAAAAACCTTATTAAATTTTTAAATTAAAACAAAACATACACACAGTGTGAGGGAGGGCAAACAAAAATCTTATATATATTTCAGAGAGTGCACTAGCACGTTCTATGGTGGAATGCAATGAAAAAATTGTCGCCACTATTGCAATAATACATAAATTCAGCTGAAGTTTCTACTCCAACAGTCACCATAAGGCTGATATGAAGAGTCGTTTCTTGAGTTATATTCAGTTCGTACTTTGACCAGTTACCTGTCAAGTTCGGTCCGTAAAACACTTCTTCGGCCAATGACCATCAATTAATCAATCACGTAAGACACTGTGGAATGACATTAAGAGCTGGGTGTTGAAAGCGGGTGACAGAAAGCACCCCTACCGCCACTATTTTCGCAGCTACCTCTTCCTTCAAAGTAACCCTGACCATCGCACAATATTTACTATGTTTTAAGTATGTACATAATGAGTTCTTAAAGCTTATACAAAACTTTTGGTGAGGTAATAATGAATAATGTAGTAATATGTTACAAATGAATTGTGGAAAAGATAATATTTTTGTGATATTTACCATAGCATTCAACCCACTTTTTTTCCAGTTCATAAGTCAGACAAAGAACAGGTACCTCAGCTTGTTATCACATAAACCACGGCCAACTATGACCTAAACAGCAACAAACTCACCTGACTGGCCAAAACATAATTTTTATAATCTACTTTTCAACCACTCCTAATATTTAAAAACGCCTATCAGACAAACCTTTTAAATCAATCAAGACACTAAATTAAGAAACCAACAAATATTTTTCCAGTTTCGCTATCTAGTGCATAGACTAACAACGTTATCAGGTTATACTTTTGTTGCTAAGCAACATAACATAAGAGCCATTGTTAAAAACACATATCAGACAGAGATTTTATAAAGAGTAATAGAAGAACGTGAAAGATTGTTGAAAAACGTGATAGTGTTTTTTTTCTTCTTCTTCTTTGATCAGTTCAAGGATTGGATCTCAATTTAACTGAGCGTGTTCGACACGAACTTGAACTTTGCATTCTCTATCATGATCTGCACAGGTTACCATGCACTTTGTCATATTTTTTGTATCAGAATATAAAAAAATAATAGCTTAATAATACATGTGATATTCGAAGGTTTGGCTGCCATATTGTCCTATAAATATATCTATTTTCAGAATAACTGAATAAATAATAAATGAGCATATCACCTCATTGTACACGATTTTCTAAGCAACTTAGATTACAAACACCTAGTGAACAGATAAGTTAAAGAAAACACGTATTTGTAATGAACTTAATTTATTGTTATCAAAAGTTAAATAGTAACACTTTTTAAACAGTGGTCAATGATATACTGACTAAGAAGTTTGTTGCTTAGCCAGAACGAAAACGTTTGAGCATATAATAGCAAATACTGTAAAAGATGACATTTTCCAGTGGTCAGTGTTTTAGGTTCATAAGCTAAAGGTTGCAGGTTCGAGGGTGGCTCGTGCCTAGTAGTTATATCAGTGTATAATATACATTACTCATGTTTGCTACAATCTACCCAGCTGTAAAAAGTGTACCAGCTGGTGGGTGTGATTTAACCTGCGATGAATTGGCATCTCGTCCAGAAGGATTTGTGTCACCATTCTCATCCGCTTGTGCCACTGGAAGCCGAGTTAAGTAGCTGTCCTAGATGTCACGGATATATTAACTTTTTTCTAACACATGTAGGCATGTTTAGCCATTCTCTGTGAACTGAACTCATATGACTTAAAAGGAAGAGACTGTATAATAAGGAGGACTTCCACTCACTTTGTTTATTGTCGGAAGCTGCAGCCGAGGACTTCCACTCGATATCAGAAACTACAAAGACGAAATGTATTTCAAAGGTACTCGTATTCTCTTCTTACTGAAGAAAAAGATACTGTTGGAAACCAGGAAAATAAACTCTTGATATAAGTATTGGTATCATTGTTATGTTCAATGACACTTGTCATTGTCAAAGAGATAATGCTTAACGTCGTGTACTCTAAAATTTTGGGTAAAAGCATTTACGTCATACACTCTAATGTCTACGTAAAATAATTTAAGTCGTGTTCTATAAAGTTTTGGTAAAAGTTTTTATGTTAGCTACTTTGAAATTATAATTATTTATGTCATCTACTTTAATAATATAGGAAAAATTATTTATGTTAGCT